CAGCAGCTTGGGAAGCCAATGTAGTGCCTAGCCTTTTGGAAGGCAGACAATCAGTGTGTTGAACTCAATTAGCTGTGCCTCTGTCTCTAAATGTCTGATGAGTTTCCATATTTTTGTGCTTGTTGAAAGCAAGAGCTAGAAGTGAGGTTTGACCTGCAAAGTCGTGTGTTTTGGTGTTGATGTTTTCTGTGGTTTCAGTCCAAGTTCCTATTCGGAGAATGCAAGTATTTGCCATTTTTGACACCAGACTTCGACTGATAATTACAATGTTAATAGTGCTGCACTTACATGGGCACTGGTGAGGCTGCACCTCGAATCTTGTGTTCAGTTCTGGGCCCCCTGCTCCCAGAGAGACATTGAGGTGCTGGAGCGGGGCCAGAGAAGGGCACCGGAGCTGGTGCAGGGCCTGGAGCACAAGTGTGATGGGGAAGGGCTGAGGGACCTGGGGGGTTTAGTCTGGAGAAGAGAAGGCTCCTTAAGGGGGGACCTTATCACTCTCTGCAACTACTTCAAAGAGGGGTCTGCTCTCTGCTCCCAAGTAACAAGCAAAAGGAAATGGCCTCAAGCTGCACCAGGGGAGGTTTAGATGGAGCTGAGGAACAATTCCTTGCCCAGAGAGTGCTCAGGCATTGGAACAGGCTGCCCAGGGCAGTGCTGGAGTCACCGTCGACAAGGCCTCAGTGCCATGGTTTAGTGGTGGCCTTGGCAGTGCTGGGGTAATGGTTGGACTTGATCTCAAAGGTCTTTTCCAACCTGGTTGGTTCTATGCTCTATCACTTGCAAAGAGCCTTCATCTGCAGTCTGCTGTGGCAGAACTATTGTGTGATGGGAGAAAGCAGCTTCTGTATGATTTGTCTCTAAAATAATGCTCCAACTAACGCAACTCCCTATTTGTTGGCTTAGTATAGCCTTCTTCTCTGAAGTAACAGTGCTGTTCAAGTAAGGACTTAATCATTTACTGTGCTTGTAGAAGCATCTGGCCACCACACATCATGTAAGAGCTGTGTTGCAGTCGTACCCTCTTGTGCAGTTTGCTTCAAGCAGAGGCTCTGCAGCCGCGCTCTGGTGCTGCACCCTGCTTGCTTTGTTGGCTTTCCCTGCCCCTTGGTTTCTAACCTGCATAAAAGACAGCAGGAAATGTAGTTACCGTATTTATCATCTGTTGTACAGTCTGTGTGTTACTCGTACAGAAATGCTGGTGGAAGAACTGCCATTTTGTAATTCCCTTTTTGACACCCAAAACGATCTCCCGCTTTTCTGTAACAGCACATGCTGCCTTCCTCATTTAAATGATCGTGCTAATGTGTGCATCTGGGTTGTTAAACATCAGTATTGAGCTTATTTCCACGTGTGTATTAAGTAACTGTCACTGGATGATTTTAACAGGGGGAAGTTACCTTTATAAGTAGCACACAGACATAAATAGCTTTCAGGAGGGTCATTCACGTAATTACATTTATTGCAGCCTTGCCTTCTAAAATAAATTGTTTCAGACTTTCATTAAATTCTGCCTCAGTGGAAGTGTCATTTTTTAAGGTAATTTATTAAGGTAATTAAAAAATTAAATTAACTGTGTTATGGGATCTGGGTTTGGGGATTGGCTTCTGGAGCCATGTGTGGGGAAAACCTCCTCCCTATCTTCTGAGCTCTTAAAATAGAAATCACACATCAAATCTGCTAAATGATTCCAGCATGTGGAGTGGGAAGTTATGCTCCTAATTGGGGGCCACTTTTGTAATAGAATATTTTTCTCTGATGGTGTATTTAATGGATTGTAATAAAAATACTCAGCAGTTTTAATATCCTCATAAAGTTTCAGGGTGTTTCCTACTGTCATGTGTCATGTGCAGCCTATTTACATGTGTGCTGAAGTTTTATGGAGGTTGCAAAGGAACACTGAGCATGGGGATTAATGGTGCTCAGCCTGGCAGGGGGAAGCCTGATCAGTGCCATGCCCAGCACACGGACCTGAGCCCTCCAGAGCTGTTGGCATGTCCCTGGCATGGCTCTGGTCCATGGTGGTACCAGCCAGGCAATGTCCCCAGCAGGCTGTTTGGGAACTGCTCAGGACACGAGCTGTGCTGCACTGCCTCTGGGTCTGCCCCGTGTTGCATTGGCTCATTGAAATACATGCTTTTCAAAGTAATCATTAATGTCCACTTCAAATTTGGCTGGAAAAGAAACACTGGAAATACAATCTTAAGTTATATCTAAATCATACATTAAATAGGGGAATGGCCTAGTTCTTCAGGCCATGAGCAGCTCCACACACAGAGCTGCCATTCTGCTTGCAGGTGGATGGTCATAACGAGACTGAAGCTCCTCAGGTAACTGTGTTCTGCTCCAGTGTACTTGGCTATTCCCACTCAAATCTCACAGGTTTTGTGGAGATCAGATGCCCAGACTCGGGTTCCTAAAATAAATTTGCAAGTGATAATGAAGAACCACTTCCTGTTGCATGAGGGAAGGGGAAACAGGCACAGTTAACTCGCTGCGCTCTTGTGTTACGTATGAAGTCTGCAGTAGTGGGTTCAGACAGTCCTCAGGTTCTGACTCCAGACGTTTACCAGACTGTGTGTTTCTTGTACAGAGCTCATACTTGCTTATACTTATCCAGAGCTTATATATATCTGTACTTATACAGAGCTCATACTTACACAGAGATCGTACTTGCTGCTTTGGAGATCAGTCATCACAGCCCTTACCCAAAGTGGATCCTGAAAGGTTTAGTGCAGGCACAGGGTCATGCATTCACTGGGTAAGAAAGTTCAAGCTGGTGCTGTATCTGCATCACATAATGAGAGCAGGGCAGGCAGAGGAGGAACAGGATCTACATTTGCTCAATTATTTTGGATGCTTTCCCTTCTTTTATAGCTGTATTTGCTTAGGGCATGAGTGTAGATCTCTCAGCACTAGGCAGTGGGTATGGAATCCACAGCTCCAGAAAGTTTCTCTCTTCCAGCTCTGTAATTTCTCCTGTATAGAAGCCTCAACTACCATCAAGGGAGAAGAGGAGATGTTAATTCATTTCCAACAGTGGCCATCTCATTGCTGGAAAAACATAGACTCTACAGGTCCCTACTAACCAAAACTCAGCAGGCTTTGCTGTCGTGCCAGTATGTTGTAGGGCTTTAACCTTAGCATTTATCGTTCTAGCTACCAGCTGAAAAGGGCATCTGATAGCTCTGCATAGATAGTTTTTGAGATACTTGCTGAAGTTGAGTTTTATGCTGGAGGAAGGGTTTTTAACAGAGCTTAAGCAGAAGTTACTAAGATCCATATTTCCAATAAGCTGGTAAGGAGACATATAATATATTGTAGAATCCCAGACTGGTTTGTGTTGGAACAGACCTTAAAGCTCATCCAGTTCCAACCCCTGCCACGGGCAGGGACACCTTCCACTAGAGCAGGTTGCTCCAAGCCCCTGTGTCCAACCTGGCCTTGAACACTGCCAGGGATGGGGCAGCCACAGCTTCTCTGGGCACCCTGTGCCAGCGCCTCAGCACCCTCACAGGGAAGAGCTTCTGCCTCAGAGCTCATCTCAGTCTCCCCTCTGGCAGGTTCAAGCCATTCCCCTTGTCCTGTCCCTACATCCCTTGTCCAAAGCCCCTCGCCAGGTTTCCTGGAGCCCCTTTAGGCACTGGAGCTGCTCTAAAGTGTCCCCTTCGGGAGCCTTCTCTTCTCCAGCTGCCCCAGCCCAGCTCTCTCAGCCTGGCTCCAGAGCAGAGCTGCTCCAGCCCTCGCAGCAGCTCCGTGGCCTCCTCTGGCCTCGCTCCAGCAGCTCCACGTCCCTCTTGTGCTGTTCCCCAGAGCTGGATCAGGGCTGCAGGGGGGGCTCCCCAGGGCTCAGCAAAGTTTTATATTTTATGTTAACAATAAATAGAGGCTGTGTTGATCACAGAAGGAGTTTTGTTCACCTTTCCAGTGTGTAGTCACCTGAAGTGGAACTCTTAGCCTGACTGCTCATGGCTTGCACTCTCTGGGCATTTCATGTGTGAGAGGAAAGGAAGCCAAGTGCCTTGTGTCTGGTTTAGAGTTTATCAGATCAGCAGTAAAATTCCTGGAGTTTTCCCAAGTAACAGGTTTTATGACGGGTAGCCAGCAAGCCATTTTTTTGGCATCACCAGCCTTGGATGCAACATAATTCAAGCAAAACCCCAAACTGTCCCCTCTGTTCTGTCTGTGAGAAGCTTGGCTGGCAGGTAAGCTGTGGGCATAGTCCAGTACACCTTATAAAAGCATTTCAGTGGACTTGAAAACAAGGAAACAGAAAACCCACCCAAACACCACTTGCCCAGTAACAGGTCAACTCAGCTGGACTGAGGCTCTCCTGCCATCCTTCCTCCCTTTAGACTGGGTTAACATACAGGACTGGTTCTCCCACTAAACAAAGCATTGTTTTTCTTTCTCTCTTTGCCTTTTCTCAACCTCCAGTGATGATCCTTTTCATCAGAATATATTTCATGTATGTGACTGCCCAGGATTTGCTTTATAGAATCCAATGCCATTGACATTGCCAGAATAAAAGAAGCAAATGGTCCTTTTACCACGTGGGCTGTGGTCACTGTGTTCTGCATGCAAAAAAGGGTGCTTGAACTCCTATAAACTAGTGACAGCACCTACTTACGTGCTCATGAGTTATACCCCTGCAAAGCAGTTTTGCCTCCTCACAGGCAAAGCAGATTCAAGTATGTGTGTGTGTTTAATTTCAGGTTTATGGTGTTTCTTTTAAGGACAGCAGCTGTAATCCAGGGGTGCAGAGGGCAGTGGGGGAGACCTGGATGTGACATACATTACTTCTAACTAAGATGCCTTTTTTCCCCCATTTTTTCCAGAGATAAATGACAGCGAGGGGCACCCAAGCAGCAGCCACCAAACCCTGAAAGGAACCTCAAAATGGGCTACCTCACTGGAGAGCCTCCTCGAAGATCCAGAAGGAGTGAAACGATTTAGGGTGGCTATATTAATTATGGATATTCATATAAACTGAAATTAGTATTTAAAGCTGAATTAAGTCTCAGCTTAAATAGTGCCAATGCTGTAAGCACATAGTGTGCGTCCTTCCCGATATGTACCCTGAGCAGAGGGGCAGAGTTGGAGCTGTGGCACTTGCTGAGCTGCTGAGGTGGTGCCTTTTGCCCGCTGCCACTGCAGCTTGTTCTCCTAAGACACATGGAAGACTTTTGGTTGCATCTTTCTAATCGGATCTATCAGCTGTTGCAAGGATTAACAAGTTACTGTTGGATAAGCTACACTCCTTGAGCCACTGATCTCTTTTGCCAAGCATTATTTATCACTGAGGACTGATCCTGCACTCTTTATTCTCATACACTGTCCTTACTTAAGCAACGAGTTACCACTAACAGCTCCTGAGCTTGGTAACTGTTTGGCTCTTACTCTGTGTTGTAGCAGCTATACTGAAGAGAATTCCCTTTAAGTTTACTACAAAGTGTGGGTTTGTGCAACTCTACCCACAGGCTTGAGGCTTAGTTGGGTGAGGGTGGTGAGTTGGGTTTTCAGGGCCTTCTTGCCTTCCTAGATACAGGAATAGGAACTAACTACTTGAGTATGGTTTTACCACACCAAGCACTGATAAAATGCACTGGGATAAAATGGTTTAGTGCCAGACGGCTTTGAAAAGTGATCTAAAATAGAAATACAAAAGATTTTGATTTAGAATTCTTAAGTTAAAAAAAAAAAGTCATATTGGTGCTTTTAATTCTTGGCTTTACTTGTTCTCTCTTTTCTAACACTTGAAAGAGAAAACTGATGATCTCAGAGCCATAAATATTTCAATCATGTTTTATAAAGAGATTTAATACAGATTTTTTTTCTCCTCATTTTAAAACATGCCTCACTTCTGGAGAAATGTGCTTTGTTTAAACACTGTCTAGAGAACACAAATACATCTTCTGCTTTAGTTTACTCAAATGAATTGCCACTGATGATTAGAAACACTTCTATTTGTAACGATTTTACTCATTAAAATCAGAAAGACACTAGATGAGAGTCTCAAATGATCTGTGACTCATTAAAATAGTTCATTATATTCACCTACTAATGAATTAATATATTTTTGGATTTTCCTTTGAGTAATGACTGTAAAATCACTTAAGTTATTTAAGGGAGACTGAAGAAACTCTTCTTGTTAGTTACTGATGTGCTCTGAGATTAAACATAGCTGCTCATTCTCCTGGAATGCACTTTCAGAGTGCTCAATATATGACAGTTCATTTGTGCCTCAGTAGTGTGTGGGTGCACCAATGCAGTGGTTCTGTTCCACTGTGCAAGGGAAACTCACACCCTGGTAAAGCTTATCCCAGGGTCTAGTTTTAATAGCTGTAGTAGGAAGAGAGAAAAACAATTGAGAAATTGGACCCTAACTTTTGTTTCTTTGTTTTTTCTCTTCCCTAGGAATTTTTAAAGAAGGAATTTAGTGAAGAAAACGTTTTGTTCTGGTTAGCATGTGAAGAGTTTAAGAAAACACAGGGGAAAAAACAGGTATGTTTCCTAAATAAACCATACTTGTCACCAACTTCCATAGCAGAGCTGAAGCTGTAACATTTCTGTTGCATAACATGCTCCATGTGAGTGTGAATAAATAGACCTGAAGGAATTGCACTGAGATCGCGGTGGTGGGATTGTTTGGAAACAAAATCAGAACAAAATGCTGCAATTGTCACGTTTCCCATGTTATGAAAACTCTGAACTTTCTGTTGTTGCTTGGGAATAGCAAAAGGTTTAATTCAGGGGTGTTGCATCATCTTGCTTGAAAATATAAAGATGTTTCATTCAAGACTTCCATTTAGAGCATAGCAGCTACTACAGGAAAATACACACCATTGGAATGTTGTAGTGGAACATAAACCCAGCAAAGTGTTGTACAATACCATCATGAAAAGTTCTGCTTTATCAAATTACAAAACAAAAGACATTGAGGGTCCATTTAGGCTTTTTGGTTTAAATATGTATTCAAACTGATACGTATCTGCAGAGCATTTCATTTTCATGAAAGCTGAATGTTTCTAGTAGAAAATATCCTATTGGAATTTCTTCAACCAGCCACCTCCAGTAAGTTTTTTTTCTGCTGCTTGGGTCTTGGCCTATAGTTAGATCCATCAGGAGCACAGAATCCACCTTCACATTTAGGCTTTGGAGTCTATAGAGTCAGGCCTAAAACATTTGTGAAATGTGTTTAATTTGCTTTCTGAAAAATTTTTTGTGATTTTTATTACTTTTGGAGAAATTCCAAATTTATTTGACCTTTGAGATGAGGATTCTGTGCGGATGAAATGAAGTAGTTTCAAAACTCCAACTGAGCGTCATTCTCCCTGAGAGTCAGACTCCTAAATCCTGTAAGCACTTTGTTTTGAAATCCCACCTTTGTGCTTTTCACATGCGTGTAGCTCTTGTTGCCAACAGGAGCATTTTACAAGGTTACAGGTGCAAATGCACAGCCCCTTTTGCACTCTTCTGGCCAAAATAAGTAGAGTACCATGAGAAGGTGAGGCTGGGAAGATGCCACTTAAACCTGCTTCAAATGGACCATACATGCTTTGAGTATCATTAGAACTGTCAGGGAATAGGAATCGGGGGGGAACTGGGCTACTGGGGGAAGTATTCTTCCCTGTGAGGGTGCTGAGGCGCTGGCACAGGGTGCCCAGAGAAGCTGTGGCTGCCCCATCCCTGGCAGTGTTCAAGGCCAGGTTGGACACAGGGGCTTGGAGCAACCTGCTCTAGTGGAAGGTGTCCCTGCCCGGGGCAGGGGTTGGAGCTGGAGGAGCTTGAAGGTCCCTTCAACCCAAACCAGTCTGGGATTCTATGATTCTAAAGTGCAGGCACAGGAGAGCTGTGTCCAGACTGCAGGATTCCTCTCTTAAGGAAACTCAAATATTGTCAGCTGAAACTGTTTCCCAGTGGATTTACAACAACAGCAGCAACAAATCCCTGGTTTCCAACAAAACATCTTTTTGAGAGGGGACTCTACTTTCTGTAAATACTCTCTATTATGCCCTGAAAAAACATTCCCCTCGGAACAAGCTCCTGGTTTCAGTTGTGAATATTTTTTTTGGTATTGATACATACATTTAAAAAATACAAAAAATAGTAATTTTTGCAGGAAGAGGAACATGTTCAGTTTGACTCTGCACTTTGTAATGTTTAGCACTATTTCAGCTTTGAGTTTTTAGTTGCTTCCCTCCCTCATTAAGGTCCATGAATGCAGATAGAAGAAGGCTTTACTTTATACAGGGCAGATGGTTTTGCTTTGTAGGTTGTAGAGGGTCCCTGCCAAGGTCCTTGCCTTTTCTCGATACCCCTTGGACAAGTATCAAACTGCATTTTAAAATGGAAATGAAAGTGGGAAGTCCTTCTTTAAGCTTCCCCAATTTGCAAAGGGATAATAATCATATTTTCTCTTGCTGAATAATTTCCATCTTCTTAGCTATTCAGGATTGCACATGCTAATACAGGAAATGGTAAACTGAAATATAGAGATAGTGGCTTAGCAATTCTCGAATGAATTGCCAAAGGAATGGACAGAGACTTAACTAGGTTCCATTTAGCTCAATTATTCAGTACCCATCATTACACAGCATGGTCAATCTGGAGCCTGGAACTGCCAAAGCTATTGCAGCTGGTTACAATAAATGTGCTTTAGAATGACACTGACTTACAGTAAGTTTTTACAGCTACTTTTTGTGGATGGCTTTGTTTAAATACTTCACAAAGGTTGAAAAAGCACTAAACCAGAGACCTTTTCAGTGCTTGTGACAGCACAAAGCATGAATTTGTCTTCTGAAAGTGCCTCTTGCAGAAAGTGCTTTGTATCTATCTGATGTGAGCAAGATATTCTAAAAACATCTTTTATTTGTTTTATAACCTGCTTCTCATTAAAACTGGTTTACCACAGAAACTAGCTCAGAGACACTTAGGCGTTTGGTCAGATGAAGCTGAGTTCAATTTAACCCAGATTGAATGGGATTTTTTCCCCCTATTTTTAAAGTATAAGATAAACCTTTCAGTACTTGACATGAAATTGTGAGTGTGGGGTTTTTGCTGGTCAGTTTAAACTTGCACAAAGGTGGCCACCCAGCCAATGGGTTAAGTATCCATAGTGCCTAGTGGTAGTGCCACTGTGTCAGCCTGCAGCAGTGTTTGGGTTTGTGAAGGCTGGTGTACCCTTAGGGTGGTGGGCTCAGTAAATGTTCTGTCCTTCCCTCATGTCCTTTCTGGTCTTTGCAGGTAGATGCAGGCTCACTCTGCTCATGCTTACTGTTGGTTGCAAACTGTGGTAGTGCTATTCTAAGAAAATACCCTGGGCCTTTCCTCAAGACTTACTAAATTTGGTTAAGTCCTTACTCTAACCACAGTCATGGAGGCTCTGCCTAGAAGCTGACTTTTATCAAGCCAACACAGGCAGATCTGATACAGATACATCTCTCTGTCCCCTTCCTCTTGAATGTGTGCCGCTATGCAGCTGGATCTTGGGACCAGAGGGAGGGCTGGCAAGAAGAAGCCAGGCTCTTGACTGTTGCATTGGGTCTAGACTAGTGGTGGGAACACTTAGTCAGAAGGCAGAAATGGAGTTCAGACCAGACTGCTCCATGAGTTTGTCTCTGTTCTCCTGTTTGAGTGAGCTAATACAAAACTCATGCTCATTTCAGGGAGCAGGGCAGGTTTTCAGCATCTGCATCAGGGCAGCAAGCAAACTACATCACTGGTCCAGGCAGGTTTTGGATTCAGCCTATCTTCTTGCAGCAGGAAAACACAAACTCCTTCTCTCAGCTCAAGACACATCTCTGTAGTTTTATAAAAAGGATAGTCCTTTAAAATTGAAGTTAAAATAGAAATGTTAATGTTTAGTGAAGACTGAGGAAGGAATTAGGTCAAGTCCACTTGTAGCAGTGAGCTCTGCTGCCACCCATATGGTCCTCATCTTGGGACACATTTAATTATTGAAATGGGAGTGGTGGGGCTAAGGGAATAAAATTGAGCTTTAAATGTTTTATTGGAGTTAGTCATATGCTGTTGCGTTTGTGGCTGTTGGTGAAATAAACAACATGTCCATTGTGCTACTTCCCAAGGTTTAAATGTTTCTTCTCTTGTGGCTGAGCTTTAAAAATAAATTATAGATTGTAATAAAGGCTTCAAACAACAGGGAATCTTTACAGCTGTTGCTAAAACCCATCACTATACCCATGTCAAGAAGCTTTGTAGAGAACAATTTTGGAACAAACTATACCTATTGAAGAGTTTCTTCTGCCACTTCCCATGTGGAATGTGGCAATGGTTAAGCAGGACTGGGTAATGCTGCACAGCTGCTAACTGCTGGAGCCTGTTCTGATGAGCATCTGGGACTTCCATTCACCTCATTTGGGAAGCACACATGCTTCAGAGCTGAATTTGACCTTAGGAAAGGAAGTGGGAAAGAAGATCGTATCCACTTGAAATAGCGAGGGGGATTTCTGTAGACAGAACTTTGTACTCCAAATGGGAATTTGGCACGGATGCTGGGGCGAGCACACAGATGTGAGTGAAAAGTGCCAGGAATCTTTTAATAACCACCTGTGAACAAGATCCCAGTTGGAGTGTTGTTTAAACTCCAGAGCAGAGTCCTGTGTGCTGGGGCATTAGTTTCAGGCTGACGCAGAACAAAGTGCCACCCGCTGACTGGGACCATTCAGGCTGTCTCCTCCGCCTGAACCTGGGTCTCCCTGAATATCATTTGGGGGCTGTCTAAACATTCTGCTTTATAACATACATAGCTATAACTGTACTTCATTTAAAAACATAAGTAACTGTAGTTAAACTGATGCTGCACTACTGAAGCACAGACATAGCAGTTGTTCCATGTGCAGCAGAACCTGTCATGTTTAGTTGTGCATTTCCATATGTCCCCAGTACTGTAAGGTCAGGTCCCCTGTGTCTCTCCAACAAACCCCTGTCCCTACCACAGCTCTTTCACTTCCTTTCTTTATCATTCTTCCCCATGAAATCCAGAGATCCTCCCCATTTCACCAACCTCCCACACAATTCTCTTGTTCCTCCCATGTTCTTTAAACTTCCTCACAGAACTTCTAGTTTCATGTTTCTCCTCAAGCCTTCCACTACTTTTTCTCTATAGTGTCCAGGTTGCCTCTGTGTTCCGTGGGCAAGCAGCACCTTGTGTTGTGGCTGATGTGGAGCTATGTGTGCACTGATTAGGCAGCACCTAAGTATATGTTGGCAATTGAGGTAGAGTAAATAACTTCTGTGTTCCGTGGGCAAGCAGCACCTTGTGTCGTGGCTGATGTGGAGCTATGTGTGCACTGATAAGGCAGCACCTAAGTATATGTTGGCAGTTGAGGTAGAGTAAATAACCTTTGAAGACATACTGCAGCTTTTCCTTCAGCGTATGTGCTGCTTTTCCTCTCCCTTTCCTTTCTCTCACCACTCTTTTCCATTGAATCAGTAGGAGGGTAATTATTTCTCAGTCATTTGCCCCACTCTTAAATATGGTTGGAATTGGACAGCAGGTTCAAAAGTTCTTTAGGTAGGACTGACAGTCAGTAGTGTGATAATAGCTAAAGGTACCTTTACTGTGTCTGCATCGAGGTATTAACTTTATCAGTTAAACTCAGTCTTATCGATTGCATTAACCTGCCCATTTAGGACAGACATGGCTGACTCAGTCCTCCCTGATTTGTGACACTGGAAAGATTGGAACATCATCTTAAGCACTTCATTATGACCCAATGCACCTGGCATGTGATCTACCCTTCAGCTGGATAATGTGTTTTAAAAAGGAATGCTCCTGGAAAATGTGTGTTCCCTTCAGCAGGGAGACAGTTAACTCTTTAGGCCTTGGGAATTGTCCAACACATGTAGCTTTTCTTCTAATTGTCCCCAAATGTTGATTCTCAGCTGTAAAACATGAAAGACATTCTGACTCCTTCATGGACAAGGGTTTAAATGCTTCCTTCTTCAAGCCCACTTCCCATCAAAGACATAGCCCTTTTGCTGGTGCTGGTGTGGCAATGCGGTTGCTCATTAGATGTGCCATGGGGAACGGTGATGAGTGCCCATGGCTCAGGACTGTACAGTGCCTGCTGCTGCATGGAGCTTGTTTTCAGTGTGCAGAATTCAGATTGCAGCAGGGGGGCTTGGCTTTCTTCTCCCTCCTGCCTTTCTTATCCGACCTTCTGGTCAAGGAGGAGCTTGCACTGAATTTCAGAGGATTGTGACCACTCATTTACTGCTTTGAAGCTTAAAGAGGCTAGGTTGGGTCAAAATGTTATCACTGTTACTGATTTATCAAGAGAATGCTGAAATCAGGGTCAACATTAACAAACAGCTTTATGCAAGTCACACCTACCCTTATTTATCAGCTTTCAGAGGCTCTAGAGAGTCTTATCTTTACCATTAACCAAGCTGTTGGGTTTCTTTAATCATGTATTCACTGTTACATGTAACCTACCCTGAGGTAAAAACGTAGATATGACAGAGCATGTAGTATGACAAGTTATCTCGCAGCAGCTTTCTTTAGTTTTGCCTTGCAGTAAGTTTCCACAGCGTTTCTCTCTCTGGGTTCCTTGAGCATACTATCTGTGAGTAAAAACAGTCTTCTAAATACTGAAGGCAAGGCCTGCTCTTACACCAAAGTGCTGAACACTGGTTGCTTCCACTCGTGGCAGTGCAGGAGTTGGCCTGCAGAGATGTTTTTCCTCCAGTACAAATGAATAGACACAGCTAAGCTAATCCATGTGTATTTGTTTTGTTACCTGTTCTCTTTTGTGATTCAGGCTATGTTTTGGTTTTAGGATGCGAACCTCAAGAAGTAAGTCACTTAGAGCTGTCTTCAACAAAAACATTAATAAGTGCAGAGAGTGTTCCCCCAGCAAATAATTCTTTAAACAAATATGTCCCTTTGCAGATGCAAGAAAAGGCTAAAGAAATTTACATGACTTTCCTGTCCAGTAAAGCTTCCTCCCAAGTCAACGTTGAAGGGCAGTCCCGTCTGAGTGAGACCATTTTGGAGACACCTCATCCTCTCATGTTTCAGAAGCTCCAGGACCAGGTAAAGTTATTTTCTCCAGTTTCTTTTGGTTTTGTCTGCTTTTAATGGACTCTGCTCTTTCAGCATAAGCTAGTGTTGGAAAGTTGGGAATCTGCCTACTGCTGCCTGTTGCATGGAATGAATAGGTAGGCATGGAGCTGAGTTGCTTCCATTTGGGGGATATTAGTGCAGCTGCTCCAAGGATGGACGCACCATACCCAAGGTTCTTGGCTCCATCTAACTCAGGCCAATTAGTTAGGAGTCTTGGCACAACCACACTAATCCAGTTCAGGACTTTTCCTGGAAAATTGGATGCAGTTTTCTCCCAGATTCCTGTGCCAGTAGCTTGAGAATCACCCAGCTGACTAACTTTGTGCCTACATTTTCCTGTGTATTCACTTGCGCTGAGTCACTGCTGATGTTTGTTTCCATAGTTGCCACTGGTTTCCTTGAGAGCTCGAGATTCTTCACTTTGCTTTGTTTTGGTATTTATATTGATAGGAATATAATGCAATTTCCTAAAAAGCCTCTTATGTAACACACAGAACTTAAAAGAGGAGTTGGTATCTGCTTTGCTTTTTCCTATAGAGCTTGGGAGGTCTGGTAGAAATTAGGTGACATTTTGCAGGCGTGTCTTTTGGTGGTAAATTTTCTTGATATTTAGTTTATTTTAATGCCTAAGTTAGGAAGTGAGTCACTCTTATCTGCAGCTTTCCAGCACTTGCAGTCTGTACTGCTTTTAATTTCTGTACCATCCTCAGGACTACCTGTATTTTCCATTTGGCTCTTTTCTTTTATGGAGAAACAGCACGCTGATTTAAATAGTGTTTTCAACCCATTTCACAGCAGGTATTGAATATGTTAGTTGGGCACTTGCTGGGTCAGTTGAAGTGGTCTGAGGAGCAAAGGCTTTGCTGTCTTTCAAGCAGGTTCCAAGTAATTAGCAGTGGAAATGTCTGAAACTCAATTTCAATGTGAAGAAGCAAAGTTTTTCATGGAAGAACTTCTGACTTCGGGGAAGAGAAATAGAAAGTGCTGGTAGATCAAAGCACTGCCCCTCAGTGTGGGTGATTATGAAGGTGCAGCTGGAGAAGACTGTTGGAGTTCAAATAAATAAGCATGCACATGAACAGCCAGAGATCAGTAATACCTGAACTGGAAACATGCTAGACCAGTGGTAGAGGAATCCCACTAGGGTAGGAAGAAAGTCTGTGAACTTCAAATGCAAAGCATTTATGGGGTTGTTGCAGGTTTCCCCTGCTTGAAGCTTCTGTTTATTGCTGGTAGGTAATAATAGTTCAGGAAGAGTTACAGTCTTCCCTAGTTTTCAATCCTTATAAAGTTATGGAGAGTGGTGTAATTTGTTCTCTAAAGAGAGTGTTAACTACTGCTGGCACTGTGTGTCTGAAGTATAAAGCTGGTCCAGAGACCTGCTGATTACAATGGGGCCACTTGTTGGGTGTGTTAGTGGGATGTGGTGGTAGGATGGCCTTAAACAAATATCTTGGAGGCAGTTGTTCATCCCAAATGATGTTAGAATGATTCATAGAAATCTGTAGATTTCAAAATACTTTGGAGTTTAAATGTACCTGCTCCATAGAGGTGATGAGAGGAGAGGAGGGAAAAAGAGAACTTAACTATTTAAATACGTGAACAAACAGTGGTTAGTAAAATGCTTCATGTAATTTATTTGCCAGGAGGATATTTCAGCAAATGCATAGATAAGAACAGTCAAGTTTTGTGTGTTAGCCTTTATCTGTCCAGGTTCCTTGAGGATGTGAAATGAAAAAGCAGTTGGAGATTATATTACCCTGGCAGTGTTCAAGGCCAGGTTGGACACAGGGGCTTGGAGCAACCTGCTCTAGTGGAAGGTGTCCCTGCCTGTGGCAGGGGTTGGAGCTGGATGAGCTTTAAGGTCTGTTCCAAGACAAACCTTTTGTGATTCTGTGCTTATCACTTCTTTTCCTCCTGACAGTTGTCTTACCCAGTTGTACTTTCAGTTAGAAATGAGGCCCGTAAAGTTCCAGTTATCCCCACATGGATTATCCACTCATGCAGGTCACAATCCAGAAACAGTCTTGGAAATTTAGTTACTCTGAGTGCCATAAAATGTAATCAGTCACGAAGCATGACTCAGAGAGGCTCTGCCACTGAAATAATAGGCAGAGGATGATGTAGGCTTTGGTTTTCCTCAGTTATAGTTTTGAGGTTTACTTTTTTCCTTCCCCTCTGTTTCAAGACCAAGCAAAATATAGTCCTGACCTTGACACCTGAACAGATTCCAGGCTCCTCTCCCAAGCCCTTTTGTTTTCAGAGGACTCCAAATGAGTTCTAGGTTTTGGGTCTTTTTTTTGTCTGAAATGGGTATAGATAGGACAGAAAACAGTTACATTGAGGGATGAGCCTAAACTCAAGAGAGAGAGAATTTAGGCTGGGAGAGAAAAGCTATACTCAGCTCTGACTTCATGCTCCCGTGCTGGCTGTACAGTGGTTATGAGAAGAAGGGGAGGTCTTGGCACAAATTTAATCTATCACCAATTCTAAGCCACATTTTATATGGCAAACTCCATCTGTACCAAATCAGCTCTTTGTGGCAGGTACCTGCAGCATTTCTGATCTGGCCTGAGACCAATCTTGCCCTTTTGTTGGGTAGTAGTCTAAAAACGATGGGAAGATTAGCAAAAGCTTAAGAAAGATGAGTAAAACCAGTTTCAGTCTAAATTCAGGTTGTAGTTGCAGTATTTGTGTGAATTATTTAGAGGCTGTTCTTAATTATCCAGTGCTGTGCATGTATAATGAGCTGTTCTTTAATGCTCAAGAGTAACTGCAGTCAGAAGGGTGCCTAAAAGGTACCTCTTGTTCTTGAGCTCTGCTTCATCCCTCTGAATATCTTCTAACTGCCCTGCCAGAAGGACATCCTTGCTGGTTTTTGCTCCTGGTGGCTCTGCAGCCCTAAAGCTGCTGTGGGAGGGGACCAGGTGATGTCCTGGCTTGTCCACATGTGCAGTTATCTGATCATTGGCTGTAAAATCCTGCCTGGTGATGATGTGGTCTCCTACTTTCACTGTCAGGTTTTCGAAGCTGGCTATTGTAAAAACCATAAGCTGGTTCTTACACTAATATGGATGCTTTTGCAAAAGAGTGACTGTGGAACCTACAGTGTAGTTTGCTACATGCAGCCCCTTCTGAGAGATTGAAGTGTATTTTAATATCATGCTTTTGAGTAATGCCTTAGTACTGACAGAACAAAAATACATTGGGATTCATACATTGTCCTCATTTAAGATCTAATTTTACTTAGGTCATTGTTTCTGTGTTTCTCCCCCCTCTTACCAGATATTCAATCTCATGAAATATGACAGCTACAGCCGCTTCTTGAAGTCAGACATATTCCTAAACCATAAGAAGTGTGAGGAGCAAGAGGAGAATTCACCAGAGGCTCAGAGTGCAGCTAAAAGAGCGTCAAGAATTTACAACACATGATACAACGAATCCCTTCAGGAGGAGCAATACAATGACTAAATTACACTCAGGAACAGTCTAGGTTTATAGCAGTTGCATTTAGGGCTTGAAAAGCTCAGAACCTTTTTAGGAGATACTTACCTTCTTAATTGCTTGAACGACTAATTGTTTTTGCATGATAGCTAATAACAAAGTGCTCATGGAAAGACTGTTTCCTAGCTAAAAGGCTGAGGTATTCCTCCATAGCATGAATTGCATTTCATATTTCACAAGCTAAAATGATGCTTTCTGGTTTTGTATTTTCTTTTGTGAGGCATCATGATGATGAGAAATGGGAAATAGGGTGGCTGGATTTCTACTTTTGCCTTGTAATTTTTATCTGTGACTGGGTTTTACATCCTGAATTGCTGGGAGAAGCTGCTGAGAAGTACATTGCGCATTACTTTGTGGATGAGTCATTCGTAGCAAACTCAATCATGAAGGGACAGCATCTTTCAGGGTTAAGCTCAATAGAATCCAATCCCTTCCTATGTAACTTTGTTCTTTCCAGGTGATACCTGTTTTGCTTTGCCTTTATTTTTGAATCAAACGCTTCTCTAGTAATGATTTCCTCAATATTTTTGCTGTAGACAATCACTTTCTTCAGAGGATGAAATAACCTGTATTCCCTTAGGAACAAAAGCACTGATTTCAGCAAAGCTTGACCAGGGCACGTCCTTTATGTCAGCATAACACCAGTGTCAGATGCCTGTATGGGGAAGCATCTGGTCTCTCCTACGTCTCCTGAACAATCCTGCTCTGTGCAGCAAGAATACTCTGGCAAAGGACCAACCACAAAGTCTGGCTTTGTTTTACTAAAATCTTTCTACTAAAATCATCTTGCCTAATTTTGTTTGCCCCAGAGAATTATTTCAGGGTATCCTCATTGAAGCTTTTGAGAGCTGCAATGGAACAGGGGCTTGACATTGTGGTTTAGCCCTTCACACTAAGCTTGAGAGGAGGGGAACTCATTTCTGCTCAGAGCAATGATATTGTGGTAAAGGAAGACTCTCCCAGTGAGCCTTCCATGCTGTCCTGGGACTGTGTCAGAGCTGCAAAGCACATTTAGGCATACAATTTTTCATGTGTTCATATATTTTTGAGTTAATTCACTGCAGTGTTACTAAATTGCAGTTGAAGTTGGGAAAGCCTATTAGCTACATGCTCTATTTCCAAGCTTCGCCGTGTGTAGTGGAGCTATTTCACATTCTCTCCTTCTTTACTCGGTCAGTTTTGCACTGCTTTTCTTGAACTTTAGTTGATGTGCCAGCTAATCTAAATGCCCAGTTAGCTTTTGATCATTTTATAGTTCTTTTGTGTCAGAAAGGCCAGATATGTTTTGTATATTATTCTTGCTATCAACGTTTTAAAACTTAAGTCTAGGTTGTAATTTCTGAGGCTACAAACTTACTTGGCAGACTTGATTATTTCTTTTAACTCTGAGCCACCCTTGCAGGTAATGTGTAAAGAAACTTGTTTCCGTGGGCTTTTCCCTAGTTAGATGTTAAGAGTGGGATCAGGAGTTCTGATTCTTCCCTCAGACCTAAACAGCCTGTTTTAGAGGATCAAAGAAGAGGTCAGTGCCTCTGTACGCATGTCTTAAGGTGTAATCCTTATGCACTTAATTTTCCCTTTGTGCTTTCAGGAGACTTAATGGTGAAGTCCTAATCTTGCTTCAGGCACTTTCAGTAGTATTTGACCTCATGCTTAAGTTGCATTTCAATGTTTTGGTGTATAGGAATGAGGTAAACTCATGCATGAATCCTTTTGTTGGGATGCGGCCTAGGAAATGGGACCGTCCAGTTCTGGACTTGCCAACTACTTGTAATCTCAGGATTACCTCTTTTGAAAGTTCACTGTAATAACAAACCCTTAACGCCTGCCACAGCAGAGGATGGAACTGCTGATACCATTGAAATCCTTGGGAGTAGGCAGCTTAAACACATTTAGGAGTTGGGATTTGTTTCTTCGCAGTAATTGCGGCAGAAGTCTTAGTGATACCAAAAAACACAGGACAGGGACCTTCATGGGGAAAACCACAGAATGAGCTCTTACCACATTCATCACATGGATGCACAGTAGATTCATTTTTAATCATATTGATTTTAAAACTGCCTGAGTAAGGGAGAAGAGTCTTTGACTGTCATGTTTTAAAATAATAATAAAAACTAAACTGAGAAGCTGTAGGAACAATGGGGGGGCATTAAAGAGAGGAAATACTCATTTGTAGCTGCTTATAAACACCTTTTTCCTTGGCAATATGCTCCCTGTCTGGTACTGCCTTATTTGCTTGTAAGAGCAAATGCCCCATAGGAGTAGACACAAAGGTGCTTTACACTACTACCAACCAAAAGTTACTCAAATGAAAATGTATTTTTAGCAGCATCTCAATGCTTATGGTGTTTATTTCAATAGTTCTGATGTTTCTAAGACAATATACCTAAACCCACAAAATTCTTAACCTTTGAACTGCTCTTTTGCAAAGTTCACTGCCCCATTGACATGTCTTATTTGTAGTGTCTGGTTTTGGTTTGGTTTTTAGAAGGAAACCAACAACTGGTCTCGTGAGGTGCAGGAATCAAGGGTTTTTTCCTATCCTTTAGATTATCTGTATTTTCCAGTGAAAGAGCAATCAAAGGAAATCCAGGCAAGCAGATGTCTGTAGTTGCAGCATGTATATGTGGAGAAGGTTATTTTGCTCCTGTTGCTATTCTCACTGACCAAACTTTGTGAAATACATGATGTTTTCTCTACGTGGCATAGAACAAATCACACAGGAAAAGAACTGAGTTTCCAGTAGGTAACTCCTGCATTCCAGGAACAACTGCAGACATTGCATTGAACCTCAGGCTGTAAGCACGTACTCAGAGTTGCTCGATGTAAAGATAAAGGTAGGATCTGCTCCTGTTCATAGAACTTACACTGAAGGTCTGAGCACAGAAAGCAAGCAAGAGAAGTTTTGTGCCTGATTGCATGCCTTAAACTCTATCCTGTTGTGTGTTTCTCAGCTAAAAAATTAAAATATCCTACAAATACACCAAATCTGTGCACTGACAGTTGTTTTATGTTTTGAACACAGTCTGGGACAAGATCGCTTCATATCCCAGTTATCCCATTTTCTGCTTTCAGTCCCTGTTAACACAGTTGCTTATATTCTGTCATAGTGGTTTTCTCTGGGAAGATGGGATGACACACACAGTGGGTTTCACTTCTGAGCGAGCTGTTGTCAGAACAAATTGCAGAAAGTGTCTTGAACAACAGAAGATGCTCCTTGTACCTTCTGCATCTCCTCCCATTTCTTTGTTCCTGTTGCATTTCTTACATTGTGCTTGCTTCAAGTTGATGTGGGGAAGAAGGGTTTGAAAAACCATAGGGAGAAAAAAAGTGGTTTGAATATTCATGTTTGGAGAACAGCTTGGAGTGTGCTTATATTTTTACTGAAGACTCAGATTGGTTTTAAGTGGGTTGTGTTTGCATCTGGGCTAAAAACTAATTAGGTCAATGATGCAGAGAGAGGTCCCAAATCATTCTGTGATGCTATGGCTGTGGTTCAAAGCTGCAATTGTATAAATTGTTTATAACTGTTTTCATCCCAAACCAGCACAGCAAGTCTTAGAGTCACCCAGTTTTGCCAAATGCCTGTTCCTGACCCACCAGAACGATTGTTTATGTGACTCTGTTCATTTCCCCATCCCAGAGGCAGTCCCTCTTGTTGTAAATCCAACACAGCTCATGTCCAAGAGCTCTTTTGGCAGAGCCACAGCTAAAAGCAAGCTGCTGGCCATCCTTTATCCAAAGGCTCTGTGTGACTGTGCCGTGGTGCCATGCGAGTGACTTCTGATGGCTCCAGTTGAGGAGCTGGGCTGCAGTGAAGTGAAAGATGCTTTTCATCAGCGCTGTTATGTCTTGGCTGATCCGTGTGGCAGATCCATTTCAGGCAGGGGTTCAAAAGCAGCCGGCACGAAGGGGTTTGGGATGGGGGAGTGGGAGAGACTGGGAAAGGTATTTTGCAGGATGTGGGTGCTCTCCGGATAAGTGAAGTGATTGCCAAATTTAACAGCACCCTCTCCTGGTTGTTGGCAGAATAACATGTAGGGATATGGATCTTGGAATAAGGCTGCAAGTACAGGAAGGTCACAGCTGCGTGTTTCCTCAGATGCAATGGACCTGGTGAAGTTTCCGTGAGCCATAAATGCAGCTAAGCTAAAATACTGTGTTAAAATGCTAAAATGGCTCTGCTTTTCCTTAAAGGCACTTGGTGTTGCTTTGATCAAAACTTGAGGGGATCACTGTGCATAAAGGAACTGATAGAAGTTGCTTGGGAAGCTGGCACTATAGGGCAGATAATGCTCTCTACCTCCTGAACGTTCTTCATGCTGCAAAGCACCAGAGCAGGGCCGGCAGTTATCCCTTCCCCCTCTAGTGCTCCTGCCTTGGGCTCTGCTCTCTGAATCGCTCAGACAGGACGTTTCCTAAAGGAAGCAGTGACCAGCATGCGGAGTATTGTAACCCAGGCCCCAGGAACAGATGCTGTTGCACTGTGTTTCTTCCACAGTGTTCTACCGCTTTAGCTCTTTACCTCGAAGTCAAAAGTGCTGCCTTCCTGCATTCCCGTGTTACTCTAAAGCTTGTTTCACTTCACACACAAATGTGTAAATCAGGAAAAAAAGGGTCTTCATGTCTTGAGCAAACACCGAAGCTGCCATCAGTGGATGTCCTGAGGTGCATTCCCTTTACAGTACACATTTCAAACACAGTCTGGCAGGTCATTTCCTCTCTGGAGCACGGCTGCAGCAGCCCCTCAGTGCGTGTTTTCCCAAAGGAATCCAGGTTTGTCGATTCCCCCTCGGCCCAGGGGGAATCGTGGTGGTCAGTGGTGCGTCAGCAGGTCGAGGGGCCAGCGTGTGGTTCAGCTGGCAGGAGCGGAGCAGAAGCAGTATCGGCGCTAACAAATGTGGTTTCTGTGTTTATCAGGCCTGTCTCTGCTCTCCCTGGGACAGGACTGCTCGTGAGCCTTTGATTAGATAAGCTTCAAGTGTTTTTCCATGTCATTAATAAGAAGAGGTGGGAACTTGAAATATTTGAACAAGTTACACTAACAGTTGCAGCGTTAAAGCTCTCCCTCAGCGAATGGGAGACCCACCCCAGTTGCTTT